CTCAAGACCCTGACCTTTAATGGTGACTTGAGAGAATTTTTAAAGAGAAGAACTTTTAAGGGTTTTGGAATTTTTTATTCTAATTGAGGATTTAGGGGTTTTGATAGGGAAATGAGTGTATAATGACCGAAAATCAGTATGTAATACACCCCCAAAATACCCAAAACACCCATACATTAGTGGACCTTTTTAATAAGTCAAACTCAACTTTCCTTTTTGGAATTATCTTCGGGGAACAAGTCCGCGTCTCCGAGGTGTTCCCACAAGTTTCTGAAAAATAAATTTTGGGACAGAAGGGTCCGTGTCACGACCTAAAAATGGACATGATGACACTCGTCTTATCTCACCAAGACAAGTCAGCCTAAAACTCAACCATTACAATAAAATGCGGAAATTTCATAATCGATTCAAAACACCCCCAAAATCTGGTTGTCACGTGTACAAGCCTCTAAAGTATTACAATTGATTTGAAAGAAACGCTAGTCTCAAATGAACTTGTTTCTAGAATAGAACAAGATCATAAATAGGAGTAAAAAGGTATTCTAAGATAACAAGCAACTACCTCACAATTCTCCACAAGAAGCCTCAGACAAGGAGAAGAGAAAATATCACAAAGTCCGGTCTAGTAACCTACAAAAATTTTAGTAGCAAGGGGTGAGTACCAAAACACACGGTATCCAACAAGTAAACGTCTAAACTCAAGCTAAGGGGTTAAAATGCGAGTACTCCTTACACACCAACCGAACCTCCACAACTATAACCTTCATAAAATCAACCCAACCTAACAGTTCACATTTTTCATAGAGCCCAGCTCATCAAAATCATTTTAACAATTTACACATTCTCAACTACAAACTCAATATTCAACAATCACAACTTTCACAAAAAGACACTTACAATATTAACAACACACAAGATCAAGTTCGTCAAATAGAGGCAATAAGATAATAAGTACTTCCTAACCATCAATAAACACATAATCATCAAGAATGAAGAATGTCATGTGATGCAATGCAATATGACACCATGAAGTGATATGCCTCAGAATACAAATTTCTCTCTCAACTGTATATACATAATACTCCTCGGAAATACATTGAGAATTCATGACCCATGGGGGACTCGCGAGGTCCATATACCGACACAGACGATCTTCAAGTGTCTGTGCGAACGATCTCAACGCACTATCATAAATTAAAATAAATTTCGCACGGACGATCTCCACGTTCCCAAATCATAATCATAATTTTTAAAAGCACAGACGATCTCCACGTGCCCAAATAATCATAACTAGATCTCAACACAGACGATCTCCACGTGTTAGACCTTTACTCATACCCAATCTCATGTCAATGCATGTGCACAATATGATATCAAATAATGAAGATGATGCAAAATCTCAATAAATCAAATGTCGTTATGACATGTAATCACCTCAATTATCACATTTATACGAGTTCAGTAAATAACACAATCATACGTAATAATCAAATCAATAATATATCAGTTAAATGTCATATGCTTTGGCATTCTCGATTAGAATCCACATTGTATAGTAATAAACCTTCCCATTATAACACCGGTACTCGTACCATTCTCAACACATCACATACAAACAAATAATCACATTGTCTTTTATTATCCCTTTCTATCATTAGAATTAATCAATGTGGACAAGTCAACCCATCACCAAGTCACATTACTCCTAAACATATACCATTAGAAAATACACGCATTTCATACACTTAGCAAGAGTTTAGAAATCTACTTGCCTCAAATAACCGAATGATCACTCTGTCACTTGAGTCTTCCACTTTCCTTGAACTTTCAAATCAATTCAATCTATTCACAAAAATAATTGCGATAAGATTTCTAATTTAAAAACACCTATATTACTATAATCGAGTTTCTAATTCTTGATGTCAACCCATACACTACATATCATCCTCCTGAATTTGAATTCTATAATTAAGTCTAATTTTCTCCAAATATCATAAATTTGACAATATTCATCTCAAACAATATACCTAACATTTAATTTCATATATCAATATATCAAAACTTGCTTTATAATATAATATCTTACAATGAAATTACAACCCAACACACAGATCATACCTCTCTCTCTCTCTCTCTCTCTCTCTCTCTCTCTCTCTCTCTATATATATATATATATATATATATATATATATATATATATATAAATATATATATATATATATCACCTAATTATTAACTAATAAACAACTACAAATAATTTAGTAAAAACCCTATGAATCCATAAGACCATTCTATGTACTTTTTATTTTCCAACTACCCATACACCATAAAATAAATCAAAAATAATAATAATTAATGTACTCCCCAAAAATCCAAAATCAAATAGCTATCCACTGAAAATTTAATCCAAACTTTAAGTTTCTTATCAAGGCAATTATATATTATCTACACTTCTAATTCTTAATTATTATATATATATATATATATATATATATATATATATATATATATATATATATATATATATAACAAAGGTTTGAATGTTTGAATGAGAAGTTACACCTGAAAGACGTACGACTGTTCTTCATCTTGGTGCAGGTATGTCTCTCGCCAAATCTCTTATTTTTTCTGAATTTTTTTGTTATGTATTAAGAAGTTACGTGCTTACCCATTAATTACAAATTTAAATAATTATCTAAATATTATTAATCTATTAATTAAATATAATTATCGAATAGTTTTAAAAAAATTTAAATCAAAATCATGACTAGTTATGAATGACTCAAAATCACTATCGGGAGAGGTAAAACAATAATTTAATAAAAATAATTATTTTCGGGTCATTCGACGCGAAAACACTTTTTGCTCATGGCTGGAGCAAGTCCATGACGCGGACACACTCCCTAGAGCTACTGGTTGCTAGCTGCCCTGGCATCATCTTGGCCAATACTTGGGTCCTCCTTAAGGATCGTTGGGTTGATTCTTGGGGAGTCATACCCAAGTATTTTGACCCTAAACATGCCCATATAGGTGTTGGGGTCATCAACACCAACTTTAGACCTCAAACAATACAGTAACACTCAACCAAAAACACATAACAACACACTAGCACACAAACAATCAGTCTTTAAACGTCTTAGTCATTTCTTGACGTTTGACCTAAAACACAACCAAACTGACCTATAAACTCATTTACTCATTATATTAACAAGTTATCAACTCTTAAAACCTATGTGAGGCTTTAGTTCATCCTATTTCATTTTGAGGGTGTTTTAATATTGTGGTTTGTAAATATTCAAATCATTTTGGTGCAAGTGTTTTGCCTTAATAGCTATAGGGTAAAAACTTGTCTGTGTAGAGTTTGCACCAAATTAAATTAAGGTGATTGTACTCTTGAAGAAAATTTATTAGTAAGAATAAAATGAATAATATATTTTGTCTTGAACTTCTAAATGATAAATAATTTCAGATAACTATTAGAGTATTAAAAATACGACAAATAATTTAAGGATAAAACATTTTTAGGAAAAAGGTCAAAAATTTCCTCAGAATATGTGAAATTCATATTATATTTTTCTGCGCTGAAGATTTACCTAAGTACAATAATCTTATTTCAAACAGAACCTAATGGAGCATGATTAAAAATATAATTAGTCTTAATTAACTTAATCGTATATTAGATTTGTCATCCGCACTTTCTAGTGTAATAAATTTGCATTCGTCAAATAAATTGCAAAAAAAAACCAACATAAGTATTTTACGTGAAATTTTTTTTACTCAAGAGAGTAAAATATATGACCTATTTGTATATTATTATTTTGAAACTTTTCACTAAACTCGAGGCCAAACTCCAAATAAGATAATAGCAGCCCTTTGTAATACCTAAAGAACTGTTTCCAATAGTTTTGTCTCTACTCATTCTCTTTATATTCAATGATGCTACGTTAATTTATAAATGAATTCCTTAATAGAAACGAGATAATATCTATGACAATCTGGATATAATATCTATCAAAATCTTATCTTGAAACTCATTCAAGAAAACAAATTATGACAAAATAAAATACCCCTAAATAACCAAATTACAATAATCATACTTCTGTATAATAAACTTATTTGTTTAGACACTTTTTAAAATTTTGTAGTGATCAGTTGTTTTACTCTTATAACCATATTCAACATTTAAATATAATTAGTGTTAATCAACTTATTAGTTCATTAGATTTGTCATCCACACTTTTTGAGGGAAATATCTTTACATGTCTTAAAATAATTTACCGAAAACAAATTATCATAAGTATTTTATGTGAATAAATATTTATTCAAGAGAGTAAAAACTATGACCTAACTCTCTAGATAAATACTTAGGGATAATGCACAAGTACCCCTCAACCTATGCCCGAAATCTCAAAGAAACACTTATACTATACTAAGGTGGTTGACTTTTTCTTTTCAAGCTAGTGCCACGTAGGCTAAAGAAGGGTACAAAATTATTTACAAAATAAGTTCAGGGGGTAATATGAATAAAAACAATGTAAATTAAGGAGCTGACACCAAAATGTCAAATATTGATGGAGGGTTTTGTCACAAGTGTAATAAAAATAGTAAAAATTGATAAAAAAAAATTCAAGTATGGGGAAAGGTTCTTGGGGTGTGAAGGCATTACAAGCCGAGATAAGTAGTTGGGTACATGCTTTCGATAGAAAATATGCAAGATAAGTGACTAGGCTAAGACGAAAATACATGGGTGAATTTGTATTTGCAACTACAAACCCATTAAGTTAAATCACGACCACTATGTGAAATCACCATTCAAATACATCTAACCTATCAGCAAGCAAGACCCAACAATATAATATCAATTCATATTTGCTAAATCACACCTCAAGAACGGAATTTTTTAGCCATATGTACATTAAGCAATAACAAAATAAACCTAAAATGATAATGAAATCAAATGATTATAAGAAATTAAATCTTGATTTAAGCAAAGAAAGAAGAATGGAGAAGACTCACTTCCAACTTTGGGAAGATGAAAAACGTCTTTCTTCAAGTCTCCTAAAATCCTCTCCAAACTTGAGAGAAAAATACCAGTAAAAATATTCTAATGTCTCAAAACTATGAAAATGTTCAAATCTCTAAAAATAAAACCTACAACTAGTATTTGTAGCTTCTAGATTAAGTGTTGCGGCGGACCACTCGGTGAGATTAGTCGGATCGCCGAATAACTCGTCGATTCACCCTTCTTCTGGTTCGTCGCCTTTTTGTGTTTGCCTTCAACATCTTCATGTTCTGGACCATTGGCCGGTATAGCCTTGCTTTGCGAAACTATTCAGCGAAGCGCCGACTGCTCCTTTCATCACCTTTTTGATCCACTTTCTTCAGAACTTCGCATGCTGCAACAAAGAACAAAATACATTCTTTTGGCGACTCGCCAAATGCACTTGGTGACGCTCAGGCTTCAACTTTCACGTTCTTTTCAACCTTTCTATGCCTTTTTGCTCGTAAGTTTCCATGCTTGCACTAAAACTTCAAATACCTAAAACTTAAGAGTTTTTCATCAGATATTTAGACTAAATAAATATTTGAGAACACTATTTCTATCAAAATAAATCCCTAAAAGAGTCCAATTTGTGGACTCATCAGTTAGCACTATTACATAGTTTATACTAGCTCAAATTTTAGTTTGAAAAATCTCTTTTTTTCTCAAAGTTTCAGCGAATAAGGTCACTAATACTAAAAAGAAATAAAAATTAAATTGTTTATTATATCTAATTTCATAATATCTAAAACAAAATATAATAAACAACTCGAATTGTCACCCAAAATTGAAGTTACTGATTCACTTATTTTACTTAAACAATGTGACACCCAAGACCTCCAAATCCTAGATCCGCCTCTGATTACAAGGTTGATATATCGTAAATTTTATAAAATACCAAATGCTAATTTATCACACTTTGTATACCAAGGAGAATCTTGATCAATCTCAATTGATAACTAAACATTCAACTAAAAAAATACGCATTTAAAAATCTTAATTTGGTTTTGAGTTGACTTCATTAAACACTTCATCCTCAAAAATGCGCAACTAGAATACACTCTCTTAAATGAGTATGTAGATGTGCATTTTAGAATTTTTTTTTAAAACACACTTTTATTAAATTAAAGTATTTTGATGATCAGTTGCAACTATCTCTCTCTCTCTCTCATATATATATCAGTAAAGGAAACTATAACACACATCGGTAGTTGGCTTATGAAGACAACTTCCCGAAACAAAAACAGATCAATTAGAGAATTATTTAATTTTTTTTTTTAAAAAAACACATGCTAATACACAGAAGTTCAAGGATAAAATCATACATGTCAGAAAATAACATAATAAATATACTTTTATTTCTAAATAAATAATTTTATGCATATTAAATAAATTTAATATTACAGAATTAAGGTTTAAAACTAAAATTACTGGGTTCGATCGAATACAAAACTAACGAATTGACTCAATTCGTACTTATGGGATGAAGCGCAAATGTTAAGAATGACGACTTTAATTTAAGGTAATATTAAGCGTTCTTTCAATAATATTTTCTAATGGAAACACATTTATTAAGGAGAATATTGGAGTATCATCAAATTTTTGGGAAAGTAACATTACTATATTTATTTAATTTGCTAATGGAATTTAAAAATTTTATGATATAGTATTTGATTATGAACTCAAAATAAACACCAAAAGTTTATTGGAATGCATATTTCAAATATCCATATTTTTTGAAAAAATATCCGATCAATTAGTAATAAATTCTTGAGTATATGTATTGATATCACTATAATCTATCATTCTTTTGCAAAATTCAAATTTAAATTATACAATGCTGACATAACTAGTGTCAATATATTAATTTTCAATGTAACATATCTATATCTGTAATATGTGCCATTATCACTGCTTTATGCAAAGCAATATATATAAAAGGTATTTTCATGTAGTTGTAATTAACTAAGGAACAATTTAGAATTAAATATATCCAATTAGAGCCATATTCTCATTATTCATACAATATAGAAAAAATAACCACCAAAAGAGAAGAAAACAAGGACAAAATTCATTGTACCTTCTCTTTTTCTTTATGCTCACATAAATGACAAATTATTAGTCAATTAAAATAAGACAATTACAAAGTAAGAGGTGAGAGATTTATTATTCCACACATATATTTAGCTTTAGCTTAGTCAAATTAAGAAATTACTGATCTATTAGCATTCTCTCTAACACCGGACATTCTTCCTATAAAATTTTCCTGCTTGACTTCCTCGTGGTGATCAAATGTCATGTCCGAAAACTTTCGAGTTCAAGTAATTCTTCAGTATCACTATATACCATTTTCATTGAAAACCTAAGAAAGATAACAAAAAGTCAATTATCAAATTATTGAGAAACCAAAAAAGTACGACAAATGACCTCTATAAGGAAAAAAAAGACTAAAAGCACTACAAACTTACATATCGAAATATTTCAAATATGAGAAGCTTCATATCAAGCAAAGAACTCATGAACACTTATCATATTCCATCAACAAAAGGTTAGGTAGGTAAAATCATTTGACACTATCAGGATTAAAGGGAAGCTTTGTTGGTGCTTCATATCCTTCTTCACTCTGAAGAAGAATTTGAAGCACGAACAAGGTTTCTCTTAAATTCTAACAATGTCAAATGAATTTACCTGCCCAATATTTTATTGGTGGAATCATATAAGCTTTCTTATGCTCTTTGCTTGATACAAAGAATTTCATATTTGGAATATCTCGAAATGCAGGTTTGTAGTGTTTTAACTCATTTTTTCCTTAATTATTGGTAATTTATGGTACTTGTGGTATCCTCAAAATCTGAGAGTCGACTTCTCGTTAGATTTATTATATCATTAAGATGATAATGATTTGAACTCAAAAGTTTGCGGGACATGACACTTTATTCCTGCCTTTTGTTTCATATTTTCAATTTGTTTAATAGAGCTCAACGTACAGAGAAAAATAATATTTTCATCCAGTACCAATTCGCTATTACTAACTTTTTGGATTGTCCAAGTCTTCAACCTTAATCAAGAATAAGCAATCTAGCCTTTTGCCATTTAGAGGAATTTAAAAAATGATTTTATACTTTTTTAAAAAGCAAACAAGTTCTATACAGATATATCATCAAGAATTTGCAAACAAGGATTCCAAACTAGCCAAATCATTCTTTCTTAAGTGTTCCTAAACATACTAAAAGATGAACTTAAAACTGATGTTAGATTTCACAAAAGTAATTTATAAAAAAAACAATAGCATAAAAATCAAATTGAAAAGAACAAAAGGGGTAAACTTTAGGGCAAAATTGAGCATATATATATATATATATATATATATGTCTCCCTCATACATCAAAATAATAAAGAATATCAATAGATAAGTTACAGATTTACCTATAATCATGGAGAAATGGAGTAGAGTGCAGGAAGGCAGAAAGGACGAATTGATACTATTAGGATTTTTTATTGTACTAACAATGAAGCCTAGAAAATCAATTTCGAGAAAGAATGGGGGAATTTTGTTTCTTTTTTTTTTAAGGCTACTATGTGTATAGAGTTTCTTACTGCACACATAGTGCTCTTTCTGTGTATATTATACACTTTTACCTATGATGAAATATATATATAGTCCAATCTTGCGTATATTTTACGCTCTTATTTTTTATTAGATAAAAAACATTTACTTTTTTTTTGACTTTGACTAGATGTATTGTTATTGTAATACGATTAATGATTTGCGTAGATTCTACGCTTCATTCTTTGACTAAACATATACACATTTAACCCTTATTTGACTTTTTACTAAATATATTATTGTTGCAAATAAGTAATGGTCATTTTCCATTCAAGTACCAAAAGGCTAAGATATATTCTTGTTGTAATACAATTAATGGTCATTTTCCCTGCAATATCAAAAAGCTCTTTTATTAATGGTCATTTTCTATTCAATACCAAAATCTGTTTATATTTTATTTATTTTTGTCTCAAACGAATTAATATTTATGGGTTTTATCATTTAATATTCATATTGTTGTTGCAATATAATTAATGGTTATTTTTCATTCAATACCAAAAATTTCTTTTCATTTTATTAATGGTCATTTTCCATTCAACACCAAAAAGCTCTTTACATTTGCAGAAGTAATTTGTGTTAAAAAATCTTTATTCAAGAGATTAAAAACTATGACCTACCTCTGTATATGACTATTCCAAAACTTTTCACTACGCTCGAGGTCAAACTCCAAATAAGTTTATAATTGTCCTTTGTAACACCTTAAGAACTGTTTCCAATTGTTTTGCCTCTATTCTCTTAATATTCAATAGAGCTACCTTATAAATAATACCTTAATATAAACAAGACAACACCTGTAACAATTTGAATGTAATATCAATCAAAATCTTATCTTGGAACTTCTCCAAAAAAAAAATATTCATCACAAACTAAAATAACCCTAAATAACCAAACTACATTAATCAATCTTCACTGTAACAATCTTGTTTGTTTCAACACTTTTTTGAATTTATAACAATTGGTTGTTTTACACCTATAACAATACTTGACTGTTAAATAATATGATTTGACTATTATAGCAACAATATTCAAAAAACAATTTTTTTTTCATTTCTTAATGTTACAAAAAGATATTAAATTATTTAAATATGAAATATCTTAGAAAAGTTTTGTTCAACTGATCAAAATTTAATACAAATTCAATAAATTAACTAACTAAATGATGTTCTCTAAGAGTAGTGTTAAATATTCTTGAAAATAAATTTCTTATAAAACCAAAAATTTCTACGTAGAAAACTTTAATTATAAGTGTTGATACATACATTTTATAGAATAGCAATGTAACATCTCGTATCTAGACTTAACTAAGTTTAAGCTTAGAACAAGTATAATCAAATTTGGAAATAAGTAAGAAAATCTAGAAACTTTTCCAAATTTCAAAAGTGAGTTTTTGGTCATTTTCAAATGACCATAACTTCCATCTCAGGAGGATTTTGAGTGATTTATTTATGGATGGAAAGCTCGCTAGAACATCTTTCCAAAGACACAAAGTTTGCGAAATTTCGAGGTTGTGTGAGGGAGAATGACTTTCGGAAGTTGGACTGTTGGGCAGAGGAAATCCCGAATTCGAATTTGTTAAGGGTGTTTTGGTATTTTTGTAAATCAATTATTAATTTCGTTTAAAGGTTAATAAGTTGGGGTCTAATCTGATCCCAATCTGTTTTCACAATTAGAAAATATGTTAGGGCTTTGAAAGAAAGGAGAAAAGAGGAGAAGGGAGAAGAAGACGCAACATTGCCAAGAATTCGTTTCGTCAGAGGTGATCCCTTTGAGATATGTGGGATCTTTTGTGTTGGTTTACTTAACCCATACATCAATTTGTTTAAGTTTAAAGAAATTGAGTATTTATTCATGTTAGGATTTAAGTTCTCTAAAGAACATTTGATTTCTTGTTGATTTGATTGTTAGTTGTCATTGTTGTTTAAATACTTGTTAATTCGAGTTATTTGAGTTGAATTTAGTAGTTATTGATAGTACCAATGGTCCTAATCGTTTAGTGAAAGATCTAGGAAGTTTTGGAGAGTTTAGAGATAAAAACGAGTTGAAAAATTCGTCAGACGCACCTGGGTAGGGGCAGGCATGGGCGCTCCTGCAGTGCGCCAGGAATTGGCCTCAGTCAATCAAGGCCTGGCGCAACGCGCCACCAGTGCACCAAAATCAGGCCTTAGTCAACTTAGGTTGGTGCAGCGCCACCAGTACCAGACCGGGCATTTCTTTATATTGCATTTATTTTAACTGTGTATATTGAATAAGAGTTAGTAGATCATGAGTTGAATAAAGCCAAGGTAAGTATTCATTCTTACTCCCTTTCAAGCCTAAGATTTGTATAACTTTCCAACTTGCATACTCGTACATTCAATGTACTGAAGCCAGTTGACTTGCATCTTTTTATGATGCAGACGCAGGTAAGCAGGATCTGCACGCGGTGTTTCGTTGATCCAGATCGAGCTCCAGATACAGTGGTGAGCCTTCTTGCATTCCGGAGGACATCCATTTCTTTTACTTGTAGTAGTTTAGTTTTAGGATGTTGTGGGGTCTGTCCCAACATCCCTCTTCAGTTAGTTTAGAGGCTTCGTGGACACTAGTATTTCAGTTGAGAGTTTATTGTTGCTTGTTGAGACTTGAGTGACGTCATGGCCAGATATCATAAGTACTTTCCTTTAAACATGTCTTATTTCTTGTTTAAGTTGAGTTTAGTCTTCCATTGAGTTAAGTAAGTCACGCTAAGGGTTCGCTTGAGGGTCAGCAATGGTCTTCGAGTGACGGCCACGTCCAGGGTGTAGGCTCGTGGCGTGACAACCAAATGCTAACTTCTTCACACTTTGTATACAAAGAAAAATCTTGATCAATCTCAATTGACAACTAAACTCAACTTCAAAATATGCATTTAAATTTGGGTTGACTTTATTAAACCACTTCATCCTCGAGAATGCACATCCACAATACACCCTTTTAAAGGAGTATATAGATGTGCATTTTAGTAATTATTCGTAAAACACACTCCTATTAAATTGAAGTATCTTGACGATCAGTGGCGAAAACTACCGTCGGCTAACACCCTTTGTCGGAAAACTACATTATATATAGGTCAAATCTTACTTTATATTGGTATACATAAAATATCTTAAACACCAGCAAAATCAATGGAGACCTATAGCACAATGAAAAGGGTATTCATTATATATATATATATATATATATGAAGCTTACATAGTGATCAGATTTAATTCCTTGCTGTAATTTTTTTTAAATGCCTGAATTTTGACGTGAACAGATACTGAAAAATAGCTCGGTGACAATTGAGTGTAGAAGTACACAAGGGATGTAAGATTGAATCCCTATAGAGTTACTTTTTTTTTAGTTTTACTATCCAATATTTGGCATCCTTCATGAAATTTCTGATTACGTTACTATAAATATCTAGACGCACCTATTATTAGTTAAAATTAAATATACCACTTGCTTCTTGTTATCCACATCAATCAGAAAAGGAAATTATAGCAGACATAGGCAGTTGGCTTATGAAGACAATTTCATAAAACAGAAATAGATCAATTAGAAAATTAATTGCTTTTTTAAAAAACAAAAACACACACATGCTAATAAATATGGGTTCAAGGATAAAATCATACATATTAAAAAATAACATAATAAATGTACTTTTATTTCTATATTAAATATGATTAGTCCATAAAATTACAGTTGGTGTACTTAATATAATGTTTCTCTTTTGGGAAAGTGCACAAGTACCCCTAGACTATGACTGAAATCTCGGAGACACATCGTAACTAATCTAAGGTTCTATTATCCCAAACTTTTTTTTGCTTACATAGAGTTTTCATTAGATATTGAGAATAAATAAGCATTTGAGGACACTATTTCTATCAAAATAAAGCCCTAAATGAATCCAATTTGTGGCGGTGCACTATTAATTTGAGAATCCCAACGGCGGACTTCATCGAGATCGTCAACATGTTGGCGGTGCACCATTAATTTTCTACAAACTGTCGAGTTTTATAGGATCCAAGCAGAAGATGCCTCGAGTCAAATGGCGGGGGAGGTCGGGTTCGCCGAACAGGTCGGCAGTTTGCCTACCGTACCTTTTTCTGCATGCATGCACTTTTTCAATCACTTTCCTACTTCCATTTCGTACAAACAATGACACTATTATTTTATTAATAACCTAAAACAAATTAAAGAGTTTTGGGTTGTCTCCTAACTCCTTAATTAACGTCGCGCCCGCGACGTAGTCAACTTTCAAACCTCATTCTTGGGCTTAGCCATGGTATCACTAGGAAAACCCCCTTGCTGTCTCGGATTTAGCTGAGACGAGATATGACCCATTTGGGTTTCTAACTGTTTGATCAAAACTGAATGGGAGGTGATGGTCTAACTAAGAGTGGACACATCCTCCTTCATGCCTTTCAGCATCTTGTACAACCGTTCAACATTTTTGAGGGTATGTGTAAGCATATCCTCAGAACATCCACCATCAGAATTCTTGGGATTTTGGCGCTCATGAGGAGGCACATCACTATCTTTCTCCACATATTTTCTATTTGGATTACAATTTCTCCATTCACGATCTCTATCTTTCCATCCTTCATCTCTACCCCAACCTTGATTTCCACCCTACCTAGGTTAGTTTGAACGATAGTCACCACCTTGGTTGGCTAGAAATTTCACCTCTTCATTATAGAGAGCTTCAAACTTCGTTTCCTCAGGACTAGTACTCCCGACTCCCACGACATTGACACCTCGTGCACCAGCCCTTATGACATTTTTTGATAGAAGTCAAGTTGTCATAGTCTTCTCCATGTTTTTGTCTCTCTCATTGTCCTTTGCAATTTTATCCTTAGATATCTAAAAGGTGAAAGGAGAGACTTGGTCTTCGCGAGTATACCACGCCCTGTTGATGGTTGTCATGCCTTTTAGAAGTTTAGTTGCTATTGCGTATGGTTGGTACATTAATCCTCGGGTGAGAGTTGGTCCGCGAGACCATTGTTTACCGAATCCAAACTTCGGTAGAAGTACTGCATAAGCACATTATCAAGAAAAACCATGGGTTGGACATTGTAATATCAACTTCTTGAATCATAGCCAAGTTTCGTGTAGAGTCTCTCCATTTAGACGCTAAAAGCTTTAAATGTTATCCCGAATAGTCATCATCTTCGAGGGAGTGAAAAACCTCCCATTGAATGCGATGATCAACTCCTCCCATGAAGTGATCAAATTTCATGGCCATTTAGCTAACCACCTACAAATCTCTCCCATAAGAGAAAATAGGAATAAACGCACTCTGACTGACTCTTTAGAGATGTTTTGAAAGAGAAGGGTCCGACAAACATTTAC